TCAGGCCCTGCCGCGGCATCCTCAGAGTGGCCACTGGGTGGCAGAAGAGCCACGAGGGAAAACCCGCAGGCCCGAACCTTGGCAAGCCACGGGGATGCCGTCTCCAGGTGTGGTGTGTGGCCACACGCCTGCTCCACCTTTGTGGCAAGTTCTACGGCTGTGATACGAGAACTCCCTGTCGGGGTTCCTCACACCCGCCCTGCTGCTTTCCTGCCCTCCTTTCCCCCCACGCCACAAGTTTCTTATTTTCTTCCCCTGCGAGGTTCTGTGGGAAACTCTTTCAGACTCAGTTTGAAGGGCCAAATGCAGTTCTGGAGCACTTGCTGGGCACCACGGGTCAGCACGGCCAGGCAGCTGTGGGATTGCACGCACCTGGCAGGTGCCGCTGGCCTTGCTCCTCCTCTTCCTCTCTCCCCCTCTCATTTTGGGCCAGGCAACAGTGGTGGAGAGGAGCAGGGGCAGCCGATGCCCGGCCCCTGGTTCCCAGGCCCTCTGCCTGTCCAGCAAACCCCTGGGAACCATGATGGGGAAGAGGATGAGCCAGTGTGGCGTAGTGGTTAAGAGCGTGGGACTGGGACTCAGACGATCTGGGTTCGAGTCCCCGCTCAGCCATGGAGCCCACTGGGTGACTTTGGGCCAGTCACAGACTCAGCCCAGCCTACCTCACAGGGTTGTTGTTGTGGGGAAAGATGGAGGAGAAGAACGATGTAAGCTGCCTTGAGCCCTTTGTAGGAAAAAGGCAGGATATAAATCGATAAATAAATAAATAAAAGAGCAGCTGCTGCCCGCGGCGCTGAGGGAGGGCCCGGCGGAGGCTGGCTTGCCCAGCAGCCCTCCGCAACCTGGGAATGGCAGCAGATTTTCATCCTGCAAAGCATCTGGAAGTCTCGGAAAAGGAGAGGGCTAAAAGCCTTTGGGTAGAGGCTTCGGCAAGGGGTGGCATAGAAATGTAATAATAATAATAATAATAATAATAATAATAATAATAATAATAATAATAGATGAGCCGGTAGCCTGAAACACGGGCAGCTGCTGGTTGCTTCCCCTCGCCCTGTGCCTTTCGTGGTGTCCCTCTTCCACGAGGCCATGCGAGGGAGCCAGTCTGCTGCCCCTTCAGAAAAGCGCTGCAGGAGGCCCTCCTGTGCATCAATCGACGCAGAAAGGAAGCGCCAGCGTGTGCACCCGGTTGTGATTCTACAGAACAGACGGTCTGATCCAACGTGATGGAAGTTGTCCTTTTAAAACCTGTTAAAGCTGAGTTGCATCGTTGAACACCTTCCAGTGAACGTCTTGGGGCACGATCCAATCTCTCCCCTGCGCTTGACCGACATAACCTTTGGCCCGTGGCGTCTTCCGTGACTGTTCTTCAGTGAGGTCCAATTTGGACTGAGGGCATCTGGGACAGCAGACAACGCAATTTCCACGCCGTTGCAAGTCTTTTCTCAGTTTAAAGCAGGGGGGCGTGTTTAAGAAAATTGGGGGAATACCCCATGCATGGGCACATGGAAAAGAATCCTACAGCCCACCTGACCGAGCTGCATTCTGGGGCCTTTTTCTGCCTAAATGCACACAGTTCTCTGCCCTTAGACATGACCCACCTAGAGAAAACAACCTTTTATTCCAAAATTTATTTATTTAGAAGGCTTCTATGGCACCCCATTTGCCAAAGCCTCGGAGCAGCTCACAATAGTTTTAGTTATTCTTTGTGGGGAGTCCTTGTATAAATCTTGCTATAAAAAGGCACGGTTCAACTATTTCCTGCCCTGCTCAGCAAGACATGTTGGCTGAAAGCCCAGACATAAGATAGGAGGTGCACGTAACCGTCTTTAAGTTCATTTTCTGTTATGCTCCTGTAACGTCTTGTTTTTTCTCCACCGGAGACTGTGTTTGCACATCACAGAGTTCCGTGGGTCTGGATTCTGCGTCATCCAGCCACTGGTGGGCTTCTCGCCAACATGTTGAGGGGCTTCCTTAGGGCATGGCTCACTTTCTTTTAGTTCCTTCAGCCTGGGACAAGATCCCGTGGCCCTCCTGGATGGTGCTGCAGTGTGGGGGGAAAGAGCGGCCCCGATCCTGCTGCCATCCGAAGATAGAGGAGGGACGGGTGTTGGCACCAGAGGCTGGTACCTCTGTGGAGCTCCTTATCCATTGCTGTTTTCCTGTTGAGCGTGGTCCTCACTATGGCCCGCCATGCCCATTTATCCGGCCCACCTTTTGACTATGCAAGCCCGGGTCGGCCAGGCTGGGGGAGGCTGGTCCCACGCCCGCCACCCCTGCTGCGCATGCCTCTGCCACCTCACCTTGTCGCGCCAGGCCTGACGCCTTGCTGCACCCACTGTTACAGTTTTGGTTCCAGGAGAAGGTATCTTTTCTCCAGCTATTTTAAAAGTTGATTTGACTGGTAAATTTTGATCTTAACTGGACCCTATTCCTGGCTTATAGTTTTATCTTGATTTTAAATCTTTATTTTAAAGTTTTCAGTGTAATGATTTTAATTTTAACTTGTTGGATTCTGTTCCTTTACAATTTGGATGTTCTTGTTCTTATTCTGCTGTTGTAGATGTTATGCCGTTTCAAACATTTTGCAAGCTGCTCAGAGAACCCAGGTGTGAGCTAATATAGCGGTGAAATAGCAAAATGAAATAAATAGTTCCACGACTTCTGTCCAGAAGTGCAAATGGGACACCGTGCGATGGATGCACGGTCGGGCCGCACAGCCCCGCCGATCTGCCACCTCCACAGCTGCTTTCCTTGGCTTGGTTCTTTGGCCTGGAAAAGTGGACCCCACGGGCTGGGGGAATGGCTGGCTGCTCGGGTTCTTTGCTCCGTTTGGAAGGAGCACTGCTGCTTGACTGGCCTTGCCCGGATGCCTCCTTGCCGAAGCGCCTTGTTGGCCGGCCCTTCCCGCCAGGGAGGAGGGCTTTAAAGCAACCATGGGCTGTCAGAGTAGGACCGGTTCAGCCGGCCGCGGAGGCAGTGGGCTCTCCGTGCCGCACGCCACGAGGAGGCCCACAGCTGCTCTGCATCCCCGAAGCTCCCCCCCCCCCCGTGCAACATTTCCTGCAAAATCACGTTTTTAATTACTAGGAAAGAGATCTCTAAATAAGGAAGTGCCATCAGAATGGGAAATTGCATCGAAGGGGGGCTTTTGCCTTTCCTCCTCCTTTGCAAAAGGCCTCTTTTCCTGAATGCGAGAATCGAGCGTGCCTTGAATCTAATTCCAAAGTCGGCATGTGCTGGGGGTCAGATATTGAGCAGAGTGAGACTGGCCTTCGGTCAGGTGTGGATAATAGCACCCTGCTCCCTCCACGCGTTGAGCACTGGGGTGGCAGCCGTCCCCAGTTCTGTGCCTTCTGGCCGTTTCAGGCCCCAGCGCCCGCCAGGCCTGCCCTTGTGGCCAACCAGCTGGGATGACGGGCCTGCGGGAGCACTTGGTTTGGGAAGCCGGGCTGGAACGTTGGGTTTGGAACCGCATGGGGTGGGCGAGGTTCTAAGATGGGGTGCCACCATGGAAAAGTCCCTCCATCTGGCTCCCTTGGATATGCACGTAAAGGCTACAGGAGGCCTTGCAGCTCTCAGCAAACAGGAGCATTGATAGGGAGACGGTGCTTAGGGCAAAGGATCACCATGGAACTTTTGCCCAGACATATCAGCAACCCACACAATTCTCCGAGCAAAGGTGTAACATGCTGACTGCCGTGTTCAGCAACTTGGCTTCTGAATTTTGCCCAGCTGCTCTTTCTGGGCTAGTCTCAAGGGAGGTCCCACATGGAATACTGTGAGCCCTCCTGGCAGGAGGTTGGCAAAGGAGAGCTCGCTGTGGGCAGAAGAAATCCACGGTACTGGGATGTGTACCGGGCATCGCTGGCGTACCAGCCAGAGCTGGTAAAAGGCATCCTAGTCACAGAGTACTGAATGATTGGGGTCGGACACCACAGTGCCCCCACTCAAGGGTGGAGTATGGGTTTCTCCTGAACCGTGGGTTGCTCTTGAATCCTGAGCTATTGGGTTGTCTAATAAACCCACCGACCCCTGCTGCAAAATGCGGCACCAGGACCCAACGACCATGGACTCTTTTCATGGGTGGTCTATGATTAGTAAGCCCTGGCTTGTGGATATAGCTGGGTTCAGACAACACAATAGCCCATGCTTCAGTGATATCCTACATGTTGATATCTTATACTGGTGGATTTTATCCTTGCACTGGTGAATTTCAGTGAACTAAATGGCAAAATTTTGCATGTTCGGGCTGATTCTCTTTGCTCTTTATCAAGGGGTAGCAAGCAACTTTTCTTTGCTGCTGTAATGAATCAGGGTAAAGAAGCAGGTCTAAAGCACGGATTGTGGGAGCGATGTTAGTTGTGGGCCTCGCTACTGAAATTGCACATCCAGCTTTCTAAAGGGACCCTTGTCAGATCATTAAGGGAATTACCCAGCTAGTCCGTGGCCCAAAAGAAAACAACTCCCCGTTCCATCGGCCATGGAAGAACACATGCTGTAGACAAAGAACAATAAACAGGTGGGCTGAAAGCTTGAAAGGAGGGACACAGGGACCTGCTATCGTGTTCCTGGCTGTGAAAGTTGGCGGGAAGGCTCCAGCTACCCAGTTTAATCCTGTTTTATCCAGAGGCTGAAACAGATACGTGCTGTCAGGCATTTGCACTTTTATAAAATCTAGTACCATGTTACTGATAGGACCATTGCACATTTTGATCATGGAGAGAATTGCAGGCAGAACGAGTTTGTATTCTTGCCAAGGGTTGGGAGCATGTAGTGAGGGAGTTAATGATTAATGCACTTCTGGTAGCTGTTTTCCTGATGCTGAAGTGGCTTAAAGCCAACTCGCTGATAATCGGACAGCGCTGCAATAAAAACGCGGAGCCACGGAAGCCGTGTTTGCTACTGTGGAGCCCGGTGTGATTGCTCCAAAGTCTCTCTCTCTCCCTGCTGGAGCTTGCTAGTAAAAGAAGGTGTTTCTTCTGGAATTGCCACGGAAAGAAATGGACAAGTGTGAACCTGTTGAAGAAACAGCTGCGGGGATGGAAAATGTGGAGGCACAGGACAAATGCGTGGAAAACACAGGCGAGGTCGAATGCGGTGCTCCTGTTGTGGACTTGTCGTGTTCAGCATCTCCTGTGGAGCAGCCGTGTCCAGGCGTCCCACCCAAATCGGCTTCAGACACCAACTCTCCGAGCTGCTCAGCACCACCGTTGTCGGCATCCGTTGCTCCAGACGGCTCTGTCGTTCCGGCGCAGCAAGCAGGCTCCCCGGGTCCCTCGGAAAGCTGGACTGCAGACGAGGACTGTCTCATCTGTGTTAACCACTACAGCCTTAGCAGGCTGCCCAAAGTTCTGTCTTGCCAGCACGTCTTCTGTGCCGTCTGCCTGAAGCTTCTCCTGCACAACGAAGACCAAGCGTGGCGCATCAGCTGCCCCATCTGCCGAAAGGACACCACCGTCTTCGGAGGCCTCGTCAGCACCCTTCCCACCCCGGAGGAGGCCTTCTGGCACCTCCCGGCAAGCCCTGGCCTGGGTGGGGAGGCGACCTTCTTCCCAGACCATCTGACCGCAGCGCTCCCGGCCCACGGAATCTTCTACATCCGCCAAGATGATGAAAGCGGCGGCGGCAGCAACAACAGGGTGGCGGCCAGGAGGCTGCTCTTCCTTGTGCTGCTCCTGGTGTCCCTGGTCATCCTGGCGCTCCCGTTCCTGTACACAGGGCTGCTGAAGTGGGCGCTGTGCATCGTCGTGGGCTGGGGAGCGGCCATGGCCTTGGTGCTGTGCTGGAGCCCGAAGTGGCAGTGCGGCTGCACCGGCGTTTGGTGCTCGCCTGGGCCAAAGACGGCCGGACATGTCCTGCCGCCCGTCTAGAAGGCTCCCCGCCCGCGCTTTAGACTTGGGCGAGGTTGCATCTTGCTGGGAGTCCGACAAGGACCTGCTCTCTCTCCCTGCGATGTTACAGCGGGTGGCACCCTCCATCTCCGCGTAGCGGTTTTGAACTTGGGGGTCATGGTCTGAAGACTTGCTTTGCTGGCCTGGCACAGAAATGGAATGACTGATGGATGAGAAAGAGGCAGGACGAGACGCGTCTAGAAGGGGGGGGGGTACACTGCACATCTCGAGCGCACTCCAGCGTCGTCCCAGAGCCAACGTTGCGCCTGGCCGCACGAAGAGCCATTTCTGTTCCCTCCCCTGCTGTATTTATTTATTTATTTGTAGTGTTTATACGGCTAAGGATAATAAAATCCCTGCCTACTGAAACCATTGTAAATTGGTATTATTAAAATCACTTCGAAAATACAATCGAAAAACAATTCCAATGACAATATGAATGCAGAGCCGTTGAGGAGCTGCCAGGAAATGCCGAGGTCAGCAGCAGCACAACTGCTCGGTCAGTGTGTTTGTCTGTTGTGTGGCTACACGCCGCCAAGTCACCTCTGACTTACGGTATCTCCCCCAAATGTTCTGACGTGGTGGGGGCCTTCTCAGCTCCAGTCAGCCCACAGCTGCAGCTTCCCAAATGCGTGTCGGTGCATCTCCGTGTTGGTCCTCCTTTCCTCCTTCTGCCTTCGACTTTTCCTGGCATCATGGTCTTCCCCAGAGCGCCTGGCCTTCTCATGAAGTGCCCAAAGTACAACACCCTCAGTTCTGCTTTTCAGGGAAGCCTCGGCTTGATTTGGTCTGGGGCCCACGTTCTTGTCCTTCTTCCAGTCTGGGGTATTTGCAAAGCCCTTCTGCAATTTGGCCAGTATAGGGTTTAAAAAATAAATTGGGAGTCCACCCTCAAACGCAGGTGTGTCTCAGCGTGGGGCTAGGCACTGAAAAGATCCAGGGTCAGGTCCACAGGATGAAATGAAATGCCGATACGTATTCACAAGCACTGCAAAGTCTCTGTGTGTCTCCTCAGCACAGCCTATGTGTAAAAGGGATGGAGGGACGGAGGAGAAGAGAAGATCTGATTTCAGAAAGGAAAAGCCTCAGGCAGAAAGATTCAAAGGGGAGGAGGAAAGAGGGGAAGCCCATGTGGGCCAAAGCAACAGGGATTCTCGGGGCGCATGGAACTTTCTGTCTGAAAGTGTCCATGGACGGCAGCCTGGCGGGACAGAGGCCTTCCAGAGATTCGGGGCTCTGGCTTTAGTGGGGCGCAGTGTACCCCTCCCTTTCCATGACTGAACAGATGGAAGGGCACCAAGATCCAAGTATTACTTCACAAAGGCAGCTTTACCTTTCTTTGGAAGAGCTGGGATAGGGGGAGCGACCGTTCGAGTGCGGCATCGTGAGCTCAGCCCTCCCCTTCGGGCTCCAGGACCCGGGGCAGCCTCTTTGCAATGCGGGCCTTTCCTGGCACTCTGCAGCTACAAGGCAAAGCAACTCTAAGAGAGAGTGAGCTGGAAGATTAGCCTCTACTCATGTCAAGAGTGTTGAACCCCAGCTGGGGACTTCTCCAGGACCCTTCCCTTCGTGGGCTCAGGATGGCTCCCGCAGGTCCCTGCTGATGCCTCGTCATGGGTCAGGGACCAGCAAGGAAGCCGCCCTCCCTCCTCCCCCTCCAAAACTTTCCTGCTCTCCTGGCCAGCCTGGGACCCTGGGGGCAGATGCAAAGGTGTCCTGCTGCATTCCCAGAGCTCCCTCTCCAAGTTTTCAAGGTCTTCATCTTCAGAATATTTCTCAGGAAGACTCTAGGAAGCCCGCCAAGAGTGGTGCTTGGGTTCACTCACTACAAAGGGGATCCAGGGTTTCACAGCACCATGAAAGCGCTGGCCTAGTGCACATCCCCTCACATACCTAGATGTCGCCAACAGATCCCCTTGGAATCTCCTCTTCTCCAGGCTGAAGAGACCCAGCTCCCTCCGTCTCTCCTCAACTGGCTTCCCCTGCAAACCGGCCACTGTCCTAGTGGCCCTTCGCTGCACCGATTCCAACCTTGCTATTTCCCTCTTGTAATGAGGGGCCCAGAACTGAACACAATACTCCAGTTGCAGGCACACCAGAGTCGCACAGAGCGGTAGCAACAGCTCTCTCGATCTAGAAGCCACGCTTCTGGCTATGCAACCAAGGGTGGCGTTCGCCCTCTTGGCCACCGCATCACACTGCTGGCTCGTGTTTAGCCTGCAGTCGACTAGCACCCCGAGGTCCCTTCCACAAGCGCTGCTCTCCAGCCACTTGTCCCCTGAGCTGCACTTGTGACGCCCACTCCTGTGCCCCAAGTGCGAGGCTGTGCACTCATCTGCACTGAAGAAAGGTGAGCAAGGGGAGGCATGGCCGAGGTGTGGCCAGGGAAGTCTGGACTGCAGAAGATGGGGAAGGAGGCATTTTTCTCCCTCCTTCATGAGACTGGAACCCAGTGGCGTCACCCCAGGAAGCTGAACAGTGGAGCATTCAGGACAGGCACACGGAAGTCCTTTTTCCTAAGCTTGAACAGTCCCAGTTGCAGCCACTGGTCCAGCTCACTGACCGTTTTAGTTCTCCTTCACTGCACCTTTTCCAACTCAACAGTTTCTCCATTTTTCAGTTTTTCAGGTAAGGCAACCAGAACTGAACACAATATTCCCGGTGAGATTTGTTTAAAGGAAGCAAGATTCTGATGTTCTGTTTTCTGTTCCATTCCTAATGGTGCCAAATGTGGAGTTTGCGTTCTTCACAGCAGCGCACCCCGGGCTGGCATTTTCACCAAGCTGTCCGCCACCAGCTCCTTCCTTGGTCAGTCACTGCTAGTTCAGATCCCTTCAGCATATACTTGAAATTGGTTTTTTTGCCCTAACATGGCATGACTCCGCACTTGCGTATAGTGAGTTGCATTTGCTAGTTCGGTGCCCTCCTCCCAGCTTGGAGAGATTCCTCTGGAGCTCCTCACAGTCCCTTTTGGTTTTAATCACTCCAAACAGGTGAGTGTCAGCAGCAAACTTGCCCACTTCACTTTTACTCCTAATTCTGGATCATTTATGAATAGGTTGGGAAGCATAGGCCCTAATGCAGGGCCTGGCAACCACTGAGGTAAGTTGCCATTCATTCCCACCTCTGTCTTCCATTCTTTAACCCGTCGGTGATTCCTAGGAGGACCTGCCCTGCTTTCCTTCCATGGCTGCTTGGTTTGCTCAGGAGGCTTCGGTGAGGGACTTGGTCAAAAGCCCTTTGGCTGTGCAAGGAAACAATTTCTGCAGGATCACTCCTGCCTATGTGCTTACTGACATTCTCAAATAACTCTAATATATTAGTGAGACAAGAGTTCTTGCTGAAGCCATGCTGGGTTTTTTTAAAGCAGGTCTTGTCCCTCTTTGTATGTACTGATTCTATCTTTAATTCAAGCAGTATACCCAGAACTGATGTTAAGCTAACTGGCCTGTAATTTCCTGGATCTACCTGGATTCCTTTGTAAAAATTGGCATTACATTTGTGTTACCTAATGGAGATAAACACAGCTGTAGGCCAGATTACTTCCCATGGCTTCTTCCATGGGATTCAGGAACCATGGGGTTTGGAGAAGACACCTTGGCAAACTTTCCCCAGCTTCAGTTTACCAACTTTAAAAAATCCATTGATTTCTTTCGGTTGCATGACCCATCCAGCTATTTAGCTGTCTGACAAAACTGGGAAATCTCTCCCTGATGCCGTCCAGATGAAAGTCTGCTCCTGAAACTTCTATTTATAGGACGGATATAAAAGTTTTAAATAAGTAAGTAAGTAAGTAGGAAATTGGCTGCACAAAGGTTAGTGAAATCTCTCCCTGCACCAAAGTGTGCAGCCTTTATTACCATTTATTTTATTACAGCCTTTGGGCTCCTCTGTCCCTTTCACTGTTTTTCATTCCGGCGGGTTGTTATAACAACGTTGTCATCACTTCGAAGGAGTGCCTGACTTTGTTTCCTCAGCCTCCTCGCTCCAATCCTATTTCCTTTTGATCTGTGTCTTTCGATTGTAGCCATGAAGACCAAGGGCTGCTGTTACTGATCTTTGCAAACCACTGTTTTTGTTTTACTTGAAGGGCAAGGTAAAAATGCATCAAATATAGAAATGAAGGAATAAAGGTTTAATTTGTGGATTTTAAACTATGGCACCTTCCTCTCCTAAAGTGGTTGTAGTCTGAGCTTAATCTGTGGGGCTATAACAGGAATTTCCCCCCTGCTGACAGCTTTTCTTTACTCCACAGTAAGTTTGTTCTGATATAGAGGGTACAGTAACATGCAGATATATTTAAAAATAATTGATTCATCCAGTAGGAGGCAAATGATTAACCAAGCAAAATTCTACTTGTGCAAACCATAGAATGGCCCAATATAGGAAAAAAATCTGTTTTTTCAACCTTAAAAGGCTTGGCTGGCTTGGAATGAATACTTTAAAAAGCCACCTTTCCTTTGGCAGCTGTCTGCACTGTAAGCTCTTCGGAGGGCCTGCTCCGGACATGGGGACATAGCGTTTTTGGTGGTGGCTCCCAGGTTCAGAGCAGCTTTCCCAGAGAGGCGTCTAGCACCATCTGTACAGTCCCTTTGGCGCCAGCCGACCTTCACCATCCATTCCTTTGAAGTCGTTTCTGTCTTTAGACCTGGGCTAAAATCCACATTTGAAGTGTGTTTTGGTTCTAACTGATATTTGAACAGCGTATCAGTTTGCGAAACACCCAGAGACTTCCTGTTGGGGACAGCTATATCCAGACGTAAAAATGTACTTTTACATTTATTTTAAATAAATACATTAAATAAACACATAACAAATAAAATTTGCTTTGTTCTGAACTTCTCTTGAGTTTATTTTTTGCTTTCCAGAGTACTTTGAATCCTGCCTCCACCCCCCAGTTTAAGCAATTTAAAATTTTGCTTTTCTGGATTTCACACTGGCTCCCTTATTGTGTTAAAAACCTCTCCAAAGTGGAGGCT